ATCTTTGAAAAATAACAAATTTCAAAAATAATAATGATGGATAGAAGTATTTTGACAAATGCTGAATTTTTGAAAAATCTAGTTATACAGTTATATAAAAAGCTAGAAAAATTTTGTCTAAAACATTTTTCTATATATTTCTCATCGTTTCTTAGATAATTGATTGGGGTCAAATATCGCGTTAGCTTTAATAAAATTTAATAAAAATTGTTTTACCCTTTATATTTCAAATTAATATAAAAAAATACGTCTAAATCTTTTAGATTTTTGTTTAACAATATATTTCAAGGAGAATCAAATTAGTTTCGAACAATTATGACAAGTCCCTCGTAAGTCGAAATCGAATGGACTTTCGTTAAAACTGGGATCCGTGTTTCAAGAGTGGTTGATTCACGCGCAACCGAACCGAGATCAAGTCTTCACGCGTAATCACGCATTATCGCACGCGTGTTTACATTTACGGACGCGTGCACATTTACGCGTACGTAAAGGCACACGGAAATCCGGATTTGCGTGCGTATAGACACGCACGCACACGCGCACGGAAGGTGCATCGGGAGAGATTTCGTACAGCCGGTGCCAGATTGATTTGGTTTACCTAAACCGCTATCCTGTTCCCCTCCTGGGTTGGAAATCAGATAAAGAGAAAGCGGGACAGAGATAGAGAGGAGGGTGTCGGTGGATACCGCCCTGGATTTTCCGCCGGCAAGTCGCGGCGAGGAAGGGTGTTTACTCAAGACACGACAATTCATTACGTAATTGAATTGAATGAGCTCTCCTTCGCTCCGCGTCGTCCACCCCCTTCTGGAGCGTTCGGCTTGAATGTGTACGCGTACGAATGCTCAGGCACGCGTGTGCGTGGTCTACGCGAGCCGAAGGGTGGATCGGAATTCAGAGGTGGATTAAGGGCCGGAAGGGGCCCCGGAAGTCTTTCGGAAGGATGCTCAGAGAACACAGCTTCCTTGTATCTGCATAATTACTTAAAAATGTTTTTTTTTTCAATTTGCATCGAATATAGACACGAAGAAACTTTTAAAATTTATGCGTAATTCATTTTTAAGTCTAATCGTCTAGCAATGGATACAAAGCCAACGAGAAATTAAATAATTGAACGGAAGTCAGATCTGAATTCAAATCTTGAGCATTTTAGCCTTTACATGTTCAAAGTAAGAGCTGTCTGACCTCACGAATAACAGGCAAATTGCAATCCGTTCGATCTTGAGATAAAAATAAAAATTGTTGTAGGTAGTTTAACATATTGCATAAAAAAATTTATTGAAAAAGATTTCGGTCTCGGGTCATATCGCGCCAGAGTTTCGCTACGTCCCTGCCGTAATCCTGCTGCGCGCACCCCGTTCGTCGTCGGTATCGCGCGGCGTCTACGCTGCTCTTCTCCGAGACCGGGGAGATCCGGAAGGCTGGGACCGACCGGAGGGGCTGGTAGCGAGCGACCGAATTAAACGATTAGTTAAACTGATTTCGAGTTAGGCGAATGAATAAGTAATCGGATTTCTCGTTAAGGTAATCGCATTGCGCCCTGATTGGCTCCGTCTGCCTGCGTTATAGGCCGCACTCCCGGCATTTTGCCCCTCTCTTCGTCCGGGCCATCCTCGTCAATGTCGATGTACCGTTTAGCTCTCTCCCTCTTCCTCTCTCTCTCTCTCTCTCTCTCTCTCTCTCTCTCTCTCTCTGTCTGCTGTAAGCGAGGAGAGGGTGTCCTCTCATCGTTTGCACGAGGGTGTCCTCGCGCGTTCCCATTGTCGCCGTCTCATCTTCTAGAAATTGAGAAGCGCTACTGTTGGCAATATGCATGGATGCTGACTTTTCCGCTTACATTCTCTCCGTTATCTCGTTGTTTAACGCGCAAACTATCAATTACGGTCATTTAATTAGTACAATCGACCTCGTATCATAGACGCGTTAAAAATTCGGTAATTTAAAAACGCATTCTTCAACAAATTTCATTGAAGCGTTTTTATTGAAGGGCATTTTTCTAGTTTTATTAATTTTTTATTTTTATCTTATTCGGCTTTTCTTTAATTATAACATATTGTTAATTAAAGACTCCTCTTCCCTTTCATCTTCTCCTTTTCTTTTGAAGAAAAACAAATTTAAGATCGTGAATGTCTTCGTGAAGAAAATTGAGAGTTGAACCGACAAGACTTCAAGTTGCAAATTTTCGTTCGAAAGCGTTCGTGCACTTCTCGAGAGGACTTTACCCATTCTCGTCCGTCCGTATCCCGTAAAATGGACCGACAACGCGGAGTCTGCTAGTAGTCCGAGCAATTACATTCTCCCGAACGCAATCCCATTTAAATATTGCCGAGTTTGGCGGTGACAAACACGGAGGGTGGAGGGGCACATGTGCGACAGGGTCGCATTTACCTGTACGCGTAGAGAGATTTGCGGTGTACCGACGTTGCTCGCGCGAGGAAGAGGAAAACTTCCGTAGATTTAATGTTGCTCTGAACGATGCAGATTTAGCGGTACCGTTGGCAGCGAATACGGAAAACCGACGTCTCGCCCCCGGCGAGACTCGCGCAACAACAAACGCGTACCTTATCGAGGACGATAAATCCCGCCTGAGAAATCGAGATTGGCAAGAACGAAATCGAGTTTACATCGAGTCGATGTACATCATTCCGACGGCCCTGAGAGTTCACTTACGCATCGTCGAGGAGGAAGACAAAGAGGAGCCGGAGGGAGAAAGAGAGAGAAGGAGTGTCTCTGCTGAGAAGAAAAATGGACATTGAAACGAAGAAATATATAGGAACTCAGAGAGTGAGGCAGCATGTGACAGAAGAAATGCACTTGTCACGAGTAACATGCAGGGCCGCTTTGTCTGCATCGCGATTCCTTTCGGATTTATTTGAATAAGTCCAAATTTATTTGAATGAATCCTCCATACATTTATTTCCTTATTTCTATTCATTTCATGATGGAGGTAATTTTAGATTGAGGGATAATAATTTTACTAAAATATTGAAAAATAATTGCATATTATAATCTTAGAAACACAGCTTATATTTTACATATAAAAATATTTTTGCAAGTTCTTTATATCTAATATAAATATATAACGAGAAGAAAAAAACAATCTTGAAAAATAAAATAAGTACAAAAAATTTAATAATAAATGATGCAAAAACTCAAAAAGATTAAAATTAAAATATAAAAAACAAAGAAGTACATAAATCATGTTAGATCTGTATGTTTTACATTCTTCTTGAATTCCTTTTAAAGTTTCTTAGCATTGTAATCGGAGGATAATCTTTTATATTCCAATGTATCTTTATTTGTAATTGTGTTGCCCTTTCTCAGGAATAAGAAATTTCCTCGTTATAGAATTTTATAATCGGATTACAATTGACATAGACAGAGACGTAAATTCGTGTTTACCTTATTCGTCATTTATCGAAGAAGAGATAACGTGTTTAAAATTCCTGAGTTCGTAAAATAACTCTCTTTTTAGCCCCGGCGCGGAAAGTCGACGATCCGACGACCGATAACGAGGCCAGACAAAAAGGAAGAGCTTTGACCGCGGAAAGCATGGGATTAATTACCGCGTGCCCGCGGCAGCGGCGGCGACGGCGGCCTGTTTCTGCCTCCAGGTAAATACGGCGGCCCTGGCGATCGTATAGGGCGCGGGAGGAGGGCACGAGGATCGGTAGGATGGTCGTCGAGCGGCGTCCTACCCCCCCCCCCCGGCTCGGCGCGGCGAGGGGGTAGTTTCCCCACGAGCGTTTCCGCGGCGGGCGGAAAAGCGGGCGCAAATGCTAATGAGCGTCGGTTTGGGGGGTTAGATCGTGTCTGCCTCCCGGAAGGGCGCGAGGGAGGGTTGCCAGTCCCGGACCGTGTCTCGGCCGTGAAAAAGAGAGGGGAGAAGCACCTCGGGAGGGGGCGTTCCCGTCACGCCTATTCGCGCGCGGATTGGCCGGCGACCGAATGGCGTCCTGGAGGACGCGTGGCGTCGGGACGCCGACGTCGGGATGTGCCTCCCCGGCGACGTGTCTCCCCGGCGACCGCTCTCTCTCGCAACGGCGGCGGCGAGTGCCGTCGGTGCCGAGGCGCGACGTCGCGCGCGAGAGTCGCCCCGAGAGATAACCGTGAGGATGGAGCAGCTCGCCCAGTTCGTCTCCAAGAGCTTCGACAACGCGACGGCGG